GGTCTTTTCTTAATGAAAATTATCCAGGCCACTGGATCGGTCGACAAGGACCTGTTGGGTGGCCGGCGCGTTCCCCAGATCTCACACCTCTCGACTATTTTTTATGGGGGACAATGAAACAAAGGGTGTACAGCAGTTCCATAAACAGCGAAGCGGAACTTGAAGAAAGAGTTTTGCGTGTTGCAAACGAAATCAAAAATGATCCCGAGATGATTCGTAGGGCAACTCATCAAATTTCACTTCGCGCTACAATGTGTTTGCAGCATTAAGCCAAAATGATTATCCTATAGACAAGTCTATTTGATTTTATTTGTTAAAGATAATGAACGATTCATGTAGGTTAATACTGTTGTTTTATTCCTACTCTGGCGTTGAACTGAGTTCACTGCTTTTTGAAACGCTGATTTAAAAACTTGTATCTAAGTAATAAACTTGCAATTTTCCACCATTAGAAAGCTAATAACATGTAGAATAACTTAACATTTAAAAAAGGTAGGGTAAATAGGACAATTTTTATTGAAATTTAGCAATTGTTTTAAAAATCATTGAAAAAATAGTGAGTTTCAGCACATTCCTCTTTATTTTAAATTTATAGCATTTAATTTCGTGGAAATTTTCACTTTACTGGTATGGCCTATTATTTGCAATCACTACAAAATTTATTCCAATATGATAGGACGTTCAGTTTAAAAGTTGTAACGATTTATTTAAATAGGGTTAGCAAGCAGTCTTACAAATTTTAAAATATTCATAAAAAATCAATTATTGTTTTAAATTTTTTTTTTGATGATTTATCTGTCGATGAAATAGAGTGTAGTTTCCCTGATTTTGCTATGTGCACTTTATGAAGACTCACACTGTATACAGGGATGAAGAAAATAGAATGTTATAAATTTTTTTGGTAAAAAAAATTATATTTTGTGCATTTTATAATAATTAAGGAATAAAGGAAAAACTAAATCATTTTATGGAGAAAATTGACTTTAAATAGACTTTGTTTGGACTTATTGCTCTATCGAAATTTTAAGTTTATAGCTTAATTAGTTTATTATTTTGTTTTTGTAACAAGGTAATCACAGAATGAAAGAATCACTCCTGAAACTGATTAATGCAAGAAAAACGAATTTATAAAAAAATGTTATCCATTTGTGTCTTCAATTAAAATAAATTTATACAAAACGTAAAAAGGCAAAGTGTCGCTAAAAATGCGTTTTTCAACAAAACCCAACATTTTCATTGTACATTTTTTCCTCAATCGTAACTTGTTAACAAATATTAGTACAGCTCTGAACGTGTATGCCACAATTCTACTTTTACAGGCGAATCGCGCGGGTGATTCTTTATTATCACCTTTTCACGAAAAGATTTTTTTGAAGAGAAAAAGTGATAAGAAAAAGTGTAATCACCCGCTCGATTCTTTCATAAAAGTGGAATTTTCACATATCATTTAAAAGGAAAAATGAATGTCACAAAAAATAAGTTTCGAGAATAGTGAATTTACGAGTTTGAAGACTCCTAGACTCGTTGTAATAAATTCCTTATCAAGAATGGAAAAAGTTAAATTGCAAATAGATAAAATTATATACAGGGTAGCCCAAAAGTGCACTTTTTTGTATTGGGAGATTCTCCTGATGATTTGAAACATTTTTTATGTGTTAGGGTTGATTAACCAGCAAAATGCTTATCTTAGGTTTTACGATCTGTTCTAATATGAGAACAACCTTAACAGGAAATTTATCACACAGGGCTTATAACATGAGAGAAAGATGATTTTCTAACCTCAATAGCTCAAACGCAGAATTATTTCCAAGCATTTTTTTTTAATTGGGACAAAAAGACAATGAGCAAAAAAGTTCTATTCAAAAGACCAAATAAAACAAAATTAATAGTAACTTCTTAAAAATGATTAATTAGCGTTTATTTCTTTAGTCGCAGATTGATGAATCATGAATTATTGTAGTTACTACTGGTCTCGGTAACGATCAGTGGACGTTCATATTTATTTTTGTACAACGGCTGTGATATTCAGCTTTTTTCCCTGCACGGCAAGTTTTCAATTGTGATAACTGTGGAGTGTTATTTTTACGTGTAGGTATCCGATACCTCATGGGATTCTACTGCATTAAAACTACATATTGCCGGTTCTAGCTACAAAACATCTAATTTGTGACATGCATATTTTTCTCCTGGACCCTCCATTTGTTAACAAATTACGACTGTGGCCAAAAAGAAACCAATAACATTGTTTATCATCTCTATACACACCATGAAACAATCAGACGATATGTATTAAGAATACTCTTATAGCCAGCCTGTTGAAAATAAGGTACCTACTACATACGACGTTAAGTCTTCTTATTATGCCCTCTGAGGACTACTTAACAACTATGGTAGTGATATTATGCATATGCAAAGGAATGACGAATGATCAATCAATGCCGAATATTTTGATCTTCCAAGACATCATTGATCTTCGGTCTTCACCTGCATTTTTTTCAATCATCCCTAACAGCCATCTGTCACGATACCATTTGTGCTGAATGTAGCACACTGAATGCCATACATAACTAAGGGTACTATCTGACGGCATTTAGTACATGTTTGTATAACTTGTTAATAAAGGTATGCATTTTGACTGTACAGTGGCCGTCAGAGACGACAATCATAGGTAAAAGACCAATAATGCCAAAAAAATCGGTAAAATGTCAACTTGTGCGCTACGTAGCCGCTAATGTGCTTTCGCGCCTACTATAAGTGAATGTCAGCTATTTCGAAAGTGGCATTTTATAGGAAATCCACACTATTCATCATTTCTTTGTATGGGCGGTCCTAAGACCGAGTCCTGAGGAACACCGGCCCGTACTATTCGTGTTGTCCACAAAACATTGTTAATTTTGATCCAACACTTCCATCTTTTAAGGAAGAATTTCAGCAGTTTTAGAAGCCAAAAGGAAAACCCTTTTTTTAGTTTATAGAGGATGCCTGCGTACCACATCCTGTCAAAGGCTGTTGAGGCACCCAAAAGCTGTGGGTGAACCACCAGCCTGACTGCCTGTAGATCGGGGCTATGCTCAGATATAAAAAACCTCATGTCAAAAAATCGATTCAATGTCACTTTTCAAGTTACTTTTTAGAGGAATTGCAGCATATTTGGAACACTGGTTTGTTTTTTGAGAATGAATTGCAATATAAACAAGATAGCAAAATAAAAAATGCATTAAATTATTGGGAATTTGTTAAATTATAATGATATAAACAATCAAACAGAACAAAAACCAGGAAGCCTATCAAGAGCGTAAATTCATTGAGGGTGCAGGTAATTTGGAATATAGTATTCTAAATTATGATTACCTGTTTTGACAAATGTTTACAATTTTTGTAAGAAACTAATAAATTTCTCAACTTTGTAACCGTTTTACAGCCTTTGGTAATTGATATCTTTAACAGAATAGCTCATTATTATCCTCCTCGAGGTAACAGTGTCGGTTGAATTTAACTATGACAAATATATGTTAATCCTCAAGCTCACCACTCATTAATTTAGTGCCAGTAATTGTGAAACAACCTTTAATTACATTATCCTGAAAATCAAGTCCATTAATGTGGGATTAAGTCTTGCAGGATCATATTTTACGATATCCGATTTACTCTTGCATTAGTACGTACAGTAAATGCATGAATATTGATATAACATATTTCAATGTAAATTTCGAGATGGTTGTGAGCCGAAATTTTTTTCAAATGGAATAGAGGGTCACGTTTATTTTAAAGACCCCCTAGAGTTTAGGTTCATGTTTCAAGGTGGCGGACTGGCGAGCTGGCAAAGTTTTGTTTTTTTGTTGACTGAATCCCTTATAACTCAACAACTAATCATAACAAAACAGTAAGGTACCTAGGTTGATTATGGCCAGCCGCTAAATATACCCCCTGCCCCCCAAAAAAAATATTGAAGTAGTCGAATCATTAAAATATCTGGGTATATATTTGGACAGTAAACTACTGTTTCACGAGCATTATGAATACATTATTTCAAAAATATCAAAAAAGATGAATCACTTCTATAAAGTTTCCCATAATCCTAGTATGTATTGCAAAAAAATTGTGTCTAACACCATAATTCTTCCCCATTTTTTATACTGTTCAACCATCCTGTTTACAGCAAATGAAAATATATTTTCAAAATTACAAATTCTACAAAATAAGGCTATGAGAATCATTTTAAATAATAACAAATATGCTAGGATTAAGACTATGTGAGAATAACTGCAGTGGTTGAATGTGAATATGTTATTTAGTTTCGTTTTCAAATTAAAAAATCATTTATAACCACCACATTTAGAATCACAACTAGAGGCATTATTGATTTTCATCTACAAAATTGGAATAGTATCATAACTAGGAAATTTGTATTTCTAAAGGGAGTATTTGAATTTAATAAATTGAATAATGATATTGAACAGTGTTCGAATTTGAAAATGTTTAAGGTGAAATTGAAAAATCACTTTATGAATACTCAAAATGCATAGTGATGTAATTTTAATAGACAAGAATGTAAAATTACAGAAAATGGATTGAAGAAAAATGTGTAGGCGAATAATTATTCAAAATTGGCTTTGTAGAATTAATGCTAAATATATCTACAATAAACAAACAAAAATATTTTGGCTGTTTTTGAAACAGAATATTCAATATATTATTACATACTCGTATACCGATCGGTTCTTCCAACAGAAGGTTGACATAATATACCGTTTCGATAACTGGTTCTTATAATCCATTTAATGTCCTGACCGACTGCCAGTGTGTTACTTTTGAAGATAGTGATTCAATGGTCTAGAAATCTAGGACTATAGAGTACTCTGAAGTAGAGGTCGAGAACTATCGATACTTATCGATAGTTTGGACTATCGAATACTATCGATATTTTTCATGAACTATCGATAGTATTCGATAGCTCTAGCCATTCGAGATTGAACACAAACATATACAGAAGATTAACCTAACCATAACCCTATTTTATGGTTGATATAAAAGAAAAATGTAATAAAAACCGTGTGACGTGTAGTAAAGTACAAAATAAAAGGAAAAGTGAAAAGTTAAAAAGAACGTGGTCGTGGTTCGTGGTGTTAAATATTTGTTGGCGCCATTTGACACAATTTAGTACATAGTACAATACATGTTTTTTTGAATATTTGTAACAATGGAAAGATTCTTGTTAAACAGAGGTGAAAAGTATCATTATTCTTGTGTTTAGTAGAAATATTTCGTAAACAGGACTATCATTTTAAGGGAACAATCAGAATAATGCTGAACCCCAACCGAGTAACTCAAAAGAAAGGTCTGAATCCGAAGATACCCAGGGTGAAGATGAAGTTTCTGTGAATGTGAAGACTTCCAGAGAAAGACAAACAACTTCTAAAATGAAAAGAAAGCGTGTGTCAGCTGTATGGGACTATTTCAAAAATTAGCTAAGTGTATTAAATGTGGAAAAGAATACAAAACAAGTCGCGCCACAAGTATTTTTTTAGATAAGCGGCAAGGCGTTACCCCCTATGGACGAATGTGCCATTAAATATCTATGTGTTCCAGCGACCTCAGTAGAGAGCGAGAGAAACTTTTGTGCTGCAGGGCAAGTCATATAGGATAGGAGATCCAGACTAGAACCAGCCAATGTCGATAAATTATTATTTTTGCATAAAAATAACAGTTTGTAGATGTTAGAAGGTGAAGGATGTATAATAAATCGTATAGTCCTTATTTTTTTAACCTAATATTCAAATTGTTTCATTCCGGAAATACTATCGGAAAATATCGATAACTATCGGTAGTTTATGCCTTAACTATCGATATCTATCGATAGTCTCCACTATCGATAGTTCTCAACCACTACTCAGAAAGAGCTTTAAGATGAGGTATCAACTTACCCTAAATTCGGATTTAAAGACAAATCCAATGTTCCGCTCACGGGAGAAGATAGTATTTCACGCATCAGTATCATCACCAGTGGCGCAATTAGGGGGGGCTGGGGGGTTTTAGCCCCTCCAAGCTCAAGATTAGCCTTCCCCCCCCAAACCCGATGGTCACAAACATGATGGTAATGCCACAACTTATCTATCCAAGCCAGATAGTCATAAAATAGTACCTGCTATTAGTGCGATGTCATTACCATATCAGTATATACTTTGTTTCAAGTAGCAATAACACGTTACCAGTGACGTTTGCCACGTGCGAGAGGTCATTCTCTATTATGCGGATCATTTTGAATTGGTGACGACTTTCTATGGGCCAAGAAAGATTTTCTGCACTTCGATTGTTAGATAGATAGAAAGATGCTTTATTGTCTTCGGGTCATAGGTATGATATAAGACTCGTCAGACATATCCCTATAAGTACATTATTATCTACAAAATTTAAAAATATATTTAAGTATAAATACCTAAATTTGTCGAAAAACAGCGGTTAAAATCTAAAGAAACTCAGTTAGTCGAAAAAGGGCAAACGACGCATGTGCGCGCGAATGAAAACGTACACTAAACAAGCAGATACAATAATAAACGTAACAAGGTGTAAAAGAAGTAAGTACAATAACAATAGAAAAAAATAAAAGGTACACATATATAAGTATCAGAATGCTAATATATATATATATATATATACAGGGTGGCGCATCGAAAACGAAACAGACGCATTTACTGGCAGCGACGGGGACACAAGTTTGGTAAAAAATCACGTTACGAGGTGCAGCCCCCTAAGTGGGAGTGACACCACCCCCAAAATCTTAAATGAAAAGGGGGGTCGAGTGATACTTTATTTAAAAGGTCTTTCAATTCCCTTTATAATGAGATAAAATTAATGTACTTCAGTTCAGCAGTTTTGGAGATTTATTGATTTAAAGCTTAAATAAAACTAATACATCATCATTAGTGGAGATCAATACATTTGGCAGCAAAGTAATTTAAAAATGAAGAATGAACTGACCCGTTAGGCAAGTAAATGTTGAAAATGGCCACCCTGACTCTCCATGTAATAATAAAGATTTTGCTCAAAACGTTGCCGCACAGTTTGCAATATTTAAGGAGTAATTTGAAGGCATCCATTCACAATTCTTTGTCGCAGTCTTTTAATGATGTTGGCTGAATAGCATAGATTTTGCTACATAAAGAAATCCAAAGGCGATCTTGGGGGCCATTCAATGACCTTCTACCAATCCATCGATCTGAAAACTTCTGATCTAAATATTGTCGAACACGTAATGCGTAATGTGGTGGGGCACCATCCTGTGGGAACATCAACCTATTCGCAATGCACCGCCGATCATTCTGATTTTCAATTATGGCAGGATCTATGGCGTCTTCCAGTAATTCCAAATACATTTCCTCGGTCAAATTTCCAGGTAAGAAAAAAGGTCCAACTAAATGATCGCCAAAAATAGCAGCCGAAACATTTAATTCTTGTGGCTACTGTGTATGAACCTCATCATAAATTCTGGGATTAGAATCGGACCAATATCGGCAGTTATGGCGATTTACTACGCCATTTAAGAAAAAGGAACATTCGTCGGAAAAGCAAGTGTTGAATAGAAATTGTTCATGGTTTATAATTCGTTCATTCATATCTTCACAAAATTGTAATCGCCGATCAAAATCGTCTTCATTAAGTTCTTGTACCAGATGAATTTTATACGGATGAAAACAATGGGCCTTTAGAATCCGTTGCACAGTACGTCGACTAACACCACACATAGTCTCCAATTTGCGGGTACTTAACGTAGGATCTACATAAACTTGCCCTAAAACCCCCACTTCTATTGCTTCGTTCCTTATGGAATTTTCAATATTGCGTTTTTATTAGCGACTGACCCAGTTTCCCGAAATTTAGCTACAAGTTCTAGAACATATTTTCGATGCACGTTACTGTTCTCATGTCGCTCATTAAATATTTCTGCTGTTCTATTAGCGCACTGATTATTTCCGAAAAATATTTCGATAATTTCAACTCTTTGTGCTGTGGAATATACCATGGTTAATTTATGTAATAAAGCGTTACAAGTTATTTTAGCAACAAAGTTTGGTCAAATCAATGGAAAACTATGTACTAAATTAATATTTAAAAGTTCTTCAAGAAATAACTTTTTTGCCACAGAAAAATGCTCCAATAGCTAATTTCAACAACAAAATGATAAACAAACCAATGGCGTAGTGAAGAAAAACATTTACTTATTAAGTAAATTCTTTTATTCAAATTTCTTCTAAAAGTAGTACAAACTAATCTGATGTACCTATTAAAGTCTACTTTAAGCTTTAAATCAATAAATCTTCAAAACTACTGAACTGAAGTTCATGTATTTTACATCATTATAGGGAATTGAAAGACCTTTAAAATAAGGTATCACCCTTTCCATTTAAGATTTTGGGGATGGTGTCACCCCCCGTCCAGGGGGCTGCACGTGTTAACGTGATTTGTTGCCAAACTTGTGTCCCCCTCGAAAACAAAATCGACGGGTCTGAGCGTTTTTTCCAAAAAAAAAACTAAGCTGCCAGTAAATGCGTCTGTTTCGTTTTCGATGCACCACCCTGTATATACTCGGAAGCGCTAGCAAGTTATTATGATGAAAGATTGCTCTACATGATTCTCTCCTTTTAATGTTAAATATCAGCCTTAAAATACGTTTCTGTAAAATAAACACTCTGGACGCGGTGCATGCTTGTCCCCAGACGATGGTGTGATTTGACAGATGCGAATACACCATTGCGTAGTACACATCTATCAGCGTTGATTTGGGGACATTTGGCTTTAGTTTCAATATTGCATAGTAGGGCCTATTCATTTTCCTGCATACACTGTCAACGTGTTGCTTCCAATTTAATCCTGCATCCAAGTCAATACCCAGGAAGATCGTAGAGTCTGAGATAGTACTGTTAATGAGACGTGGAGTACTAGAGTAAAAGTGAACAACTACCGTCTTGTCGGTATTCAAGATCAGGCGATTTGTTTGGCACCACTCTTACATCTCAGATTTTATGATTCCAATGTTAAGGTACAGATCTTCAGGCGAATCTGCAGTTACTACGGTCGATGTTTCTTCAGCGTAGTTCACCACTGCATCTGAGAGCGAGATATCGTTCATAAACAGGATGAGAAGAGGTGGTGCCAATACAGATCCCTGAGCTGTTAGTTATCCAAAAGGATATAGAAATAAATTTGGATGATGTGATCAGGGGCGTAGCTATCCTAGGGCAAACCGGGGCAGTGCCTCGGAGCCCCGGCTTATAGGGAGCCCCGGCCATGCGCCTCAAAAAAATTGTTTTTAAGCGCCGATCAGCAATAAATTCATTAAGTGCTAATATAACCTAGGTATACTAAAAAGAAAAATAAATAATAAATATAATTATAAATAATGTTTATTTTTTAAAACGCCACATATTTGAGGAAAACGCTTGCGTTCCTAAATGTATGTAGCTATAATCCGTCGGACCGCGATGGGCTTGGCACCACCGCCTTAATATTACATCTCGTCTTTGGGGATTCCCCGATCTATTGTTTTGATGATTTTAACTACCCAGCGTGCCCCATGTGATATTGATATGTGTCGTAGTCGTGCCGTGGTGCCCAGCGTGGTGTAAAATAACATTACTATATTTGTATTGTGACTATTGTGTCTCGTTATAATAAGGTACGTATTAGAAAAAAAGGTAAGTGTAAGTTATACTACTTAATGAATAAATGGCTCGATTTTGATTTGTGCGTAATTTTGTTTGTAAATGTACATTTGTCCATTACGTTGCTGAGTAAAGGCGCCCGCAGAATTTCAGTAACGTAAGACTTAAGACTTAAGTTTCATTTAAGACAGATTAAGACTTAACCGCAAGGAATTATACAGAATTCTGATAAGGTGATTTATAAAGTATAGTCAAGAGTTCAGCAAAATGCCGAATATGTACATTGTGCAAGTCACAACTTAAATTTAGTAATAAATGATGCAGTAAATTGTTGTAAAGAGGTCTCGCAATATTTTGCCACTTTGAAAAATTAATATTTTTTTTTGGTTTAAGTATTAATAGATGGGATCTTTTAGCTTCTTTTACCAGTGAATCCAAAACAACTTTAAAAACATTAAATCCAACTCGTTGGTCAGGAAGGATATTGTCTATTAGTGCTGTCAAACTTCGTTATCTTGATATTATTAAATCTTTAACAGAAATAGAGTTACAGTCTCATAAAAAAGAAGAAACAGAAGAAGCTTCTTCCATTAAAAAATAAATGTGTTGCTTTGAATTTGTATTTATTTCAACAAATTGATAAAATCTTTACCCAGGTTAACTTCGCCTCAAAGGTCCTTCAAAAGAAAAATATTGATTTAAGTGAATCTGTGACTGTTTTAGAACAAGTAGAAAAGAACCTTACTGAATTAAGATCTTCTTATGAAATTTTAATGATTGAGGCTACGGAACTGGCTAACAAATGGAATATTCAACCGGAATTCAGGCAAAAACGTCAACCTAAAGTTAAAAAACACTTTGACGAACTCTTAAGTGATTACAGATTTAATAATACTCAAATTTTATTCAAAATAAATGTTTTTAATGTTGT